CCCAGCCCCCGGGCAGCCATGCTGAGGTGAAGATGGGCATCGGTGCAGGCCTCGAGCCGGGCAGGACATGGCTGGTGCAAGGCTTGAGCGTGGCCAGCACGAAGCGCTGGTGTGGGGCTGGAATAAACCCAAGGCCTTTGCGCTGTGCCTGGGTGTCACGGGCGTTTTGTTGACTTTCCCTTGGGCCTTGCGGGATTTGGCAGCAGTGGGGCAGAGGGAGGGGGGCAGTGGGTGCTGCAAGATGCTGCCAGGCTGAGGGAGGGGTCACTGTGTTCCTGCATTGGTGGCCTTTTCCCTAGAGCTCATTTTAGGCCTGGGTTGACTGAAACGTACTGATGTTGACAGAAATAATTAAGAGCAGAGTTTAACCTCCAGACATGAATATGGGGAAAGGTCAGAGGTGGCACCTGTGTGTCTTGGGGGCATGGCTGGCTCTGAGTGCCGACACGGGCACGAGTGGCCACCCAACCCCTTCGCTGTTGTGGGGGCGGCCTCCCATCCAGGCTGTACTCACAGCCTCCAGCCGGCGCTTGCTAGCAGCACCGACCTTGCTGGGGGCCCTTGGGTGTGCGACCTTCCCGTAAGGGCTTCATTAGCACAAGTAATGGCCTCTGCCACCTCCCTGCTCCCAGCACGGCTCATTACTGCAAGGGCTCGTTACAGTGAGGGCTCATTACAGCAGGGGCAAGGCAGGAGCAAGACACAGCTGCGCTCCTCAAGGAGGCTGAGCCCATGTGCGCCAGCGGGAGGTGCTGGAGCCCCAGCCTGTGGGGACTGCAGTGCCCTAGGCCAGACATCGGCTCCGTTACGGGACCTGCACGGTGTTGGCTCTGCCACATGATGGCTGTGTCTGGTTTGTGGCACAATTTTTTCACCTGGGCTTTGCTTTTTGACTGCTCCACCATATCCATCGCTTCCTCCCTGCTTTGCACTGTGCTTTTGCCTGGAGTTTCCTCAGGGGCTCTGTCCCGGGCAACCCTGTATCCACAGTCCAACTGAAACCATGGTGTGGGATCGCTTCCCGTTCTGGGCCCGCAGGTGCCATGGGCACCAGCTGGGCAAAACCCACTGGCCTCCAAGCCCCTTGTCCATGACAGGGAAAGCATGGCCGTCACTGGCAGGCCCCAGCACAGGGCCTGGCTGGGCCTCGTGCGGGGCCTCTGTGGCCCTTAAGGTCCTTGGGCCCCTCACCAGGGCAAGTCACTGGTGGGGGGGCACCCCAGGGCCTTGAACATGGAGACCTCCAGGCTGGGCTGGGAAGGGCCATCACCTCAACCATCATGTTCCTCTGTCCCCACCATCCTACCTGGCTTCATTGCAGCACAGCTCGAGGTGGAGGCCGTGTCCCTTCTAGTGCAGCCCGACGCAGGCATCAGCTTTGGGGCCCACGACACGGGGTCGGTAGCCCCTGTCGTCCCCTCTTAGCGCCAGCACACCTGGGAGTGCTGCGGGCACTGTTCATGATGAGTGTGGGTGACCAGGAGGTGTCTCTGCAGCCTAAGAGTTGTTCTGGCCGAGCCTGGAGAGATGTTGGCCTGAGGTGCCACCACGTGGTGGCATCCCTGTCTCGGTTTGCTGTCTCCTCTCTCCTCTATAGAATCATAGAATAATTATGGTTAGAAAAGACCTTCAAGATCATCGATTCCAACCATAAACCCTTCAACACCCTGTCTGCTAAGCTATGTCCGTAAGTGCTTCATCTACACATTTCTTGAACACTGCCAGGGACGGTGACTCCACCGCCTCCCTGGGTAGCCTGTTCCAACATTTC